CTAGCCCATACCACTGCAACCCCACACTGCTGTTTTTAGCATGCTAGCTTGAGCAGAATAGTGTGTGTGTACATCTACCCAAGGTGGGAATTACACATCCCAGCTGTAAGGGGAGACATACTTTTACTTAGAAAGACCCTAGTTCTGGAGTCTCTGATTCTTTGGTAAATTTGTTGACTGGTGCCTAAATCAAAGCCAGCCTTTCTTAATGAAGTCTTTGCGCTACGTTAAGTGCTTCCATTTAAACTGTTGCTAAGGAAACTGAGGTTTGGGAAGAAAGAACTAATTTTCATCTATTTTGTCAGAACCTGAATTTGTCTGTCACCCAAGTATAAACATGTTCTTGATTTGGAATCTTAAATAGTTTTTAACCTCCCTCCCCCTGCCTTTTCATTGTGTTCAAGGTCCCTTCAATAATGTGAGCTTTCACTCCAGGTTTTTATCCTTTATTAGCAAACACTGATTTCTTCTCCCTATTCACAATATTTTAATATGCAGCAGAATTCAACGTGGCCCTCTCTTGTTTACTTCCTTCATTGTATGCTAGCTCCATCAATGGTACCTGATGGAATTCACACAACCCTGCAGGAATTGTGCTCATTCTAGTTAACTTCTGATGCCCAAGAAGTTCACATTCTGATTTTTAGGGGTTCACAGAAAAAATGGTGGAAGTTGGAAAACAATCCACCTCTTTAAAGATACGGTATTTAAAATCCTCAAGGGCATTCTTCACCAAATCTGTAGCACTTTTCAAGAGAGCCAGATCTAAGTATGAACTACTGTTTTGATTAATTTTTTTTTTTTTTTTTTTGCTGTGAGTTCATCTGTTTTTGGTAATACAAGAAAATAAAAACACATTTGCAAAAGAGTTCACAAATAAGTTGTCACTGGGATTTTGAATTGCTACTAATGGAACCTTCTTATAGAAGAATGTATTTGAAAAGACTGGCTGTAGTAGCCCTATCAACAAAAAGTTACTTGAAGAGGAGAGAGAGAAGCCCTCAAACCTGTTTTGGGTGGGATACAGGAAAAGACTATGTGTGTTCATCTGTCAGATTAATTGACCTCTTTCTCTTTGACTTTCATCCTGTTTCCAATATTGGAGGGCAACCCTGACATCATGCAAGAGACAAAGAGCAAAACACTTGTAAATACTAGGCCATGCCTTTAGATTTACACTGTCTGCATACACACATGCACAATCTCAAAGAGAAACTCTTTGAAGACCATGACCAAATTTTGCAGTGACTAATGCCCCAGACAACCTCATTAAAATCAATGATATTGCATGAGGCTCAAAACCAGTGCAGAATCGGGCCCCCAAGGGTCTCGTGTCAGTACTGGAAATTACTGCATTTTTCAGTTGGTTTGTTATGACGATGCTCTTTTGGGTAGGGGCAGTTTGTAACTGGCAAAGACCAAGCCACATCCTGCTCTAATTGATGGGGATCCAAAGTCAGACATTGAACAGGTGATTTTTGGAGCAGTTTTCACCACTCTGCCTCCTGGACTTTTGAAGGGAAAATTAATCATAAATCTAAAGAGCTCTGTGGATTCCCCAATCCTAAAAATAAAACAAAGCCCATACCTTTGACCCTCTGCAACTACTGCCTCATCATCCTTCTCCCTTTAAACCCATTATATGTGCTATCTACAGCCATTGCCTCCAACTCCATCCTTGGTCCTCTCTACTCTGTCTCATGCTCTCTGTGAAATAGCTCTCACCAGAGTCCTGGTCTTCTTGTCACTCATTTCACTTCTCTCAGGCCCATTCAGAACGTTGCTTCCTAAATCATCCATCTGCCTGGATGGGTCCTGATCCTATCACCCCATTTTCTGACTCCATCCACAGGCTTCTCTTTGTCCAGTGCATTCTATTACAAGTTTCTAGTGCTTACCTTTAAAGCCCTGAAAACTTGGTTCACTCTTCAGGAGAGGGAGTTGTATGTTTTGTCCCCTTGCCACTATGCTTTACCCGTCTCCATCACGTTTTTTTCCTGTTTCTCCTATGATATACCTTGTTTATTTTATTGTCCTAAACCTCCTTTCCCCTGTTTTTCTCATCCATCTGTTGTCTTTTCCTCAGAGGGGTTCTCTCTTCTTTGTCACTTGTATGTAGACTCCCTGGCATAATGAGGCCCTGATATTTGGCTGGGGGTTCTTAGGTACTGCCATAATAGAAATAAAATCCACAAGCTTTCCTCCATTCCACATTTTCTGCACAGAACACCCTCTGTGAACTAGTCCATAAAGCCACTACCTTCTCTTCCTTCATGTTCCTCTTCAAAATACTTCTGTCCTGAGACCTAAGGGAATCTGCCAACTGATAATAGCTAAGTAGATGGCTAGTAGGCCCTTCTGTTTGCTCTGTTCATTGGCCTATACAGTAAATACCTGATCTTTTTACTGCATCACTTCCCCATTCCTTCTAGTTGGTTATTACACCACTACTTATCTGAATTAGACTGCAACCTCTTCCAGGCAGGGCCATCTTTTGCTCTATGTTCATAAAGCACCTAGCACAATGGGGCCTTGATTCTGATTGCTGTTTCTATGTGTTACCGTAATACAAAAGAATATTTTTTAAAAAAAAAGGGGGGGGGGGAATTGCTAACAACTGGGAGCCTGTTCTTCTTTAAAACATGTTACTTAAAAACTTTATAAATCTAGAAGCTGTTAGGATGTGTCATAAAACAGCTTGCATTTCAAAATTCCATTGAAATTCCTCCATCGCTTAAAATTTATCATGCCTTTAAATCACCAAGTTGGTCAGCGGGAGTTTTCCTTTTAGCCAAGTAACAATTTCCCTGTTTAAATGAAGCATTTCCCATGGCGTGCCTTCATTTACCAGTAGATAAAAGTTGTACTGAATTTCTCTGAAAGAAGTAAACCCTCCTCCCAGTCCAAGGAGTCAATATCAGAACTTTAGCAAGGTCAAAGGAAATGGAATATGTATACAGTCCTTTTTGATTGCTGGAATATCAGAAGCTTGACAACATTGTTGGGCCAGCTCTTCAGCATGTCTTCAATGGACTTATGCTGATACACAGTAGCTACAGATCTGGCCCAATGTCTTTTTGCCCAAACACTGTAGAATAACAAAACCCCAAAACCTATTTCAGAAAATACTTCACTATACCACTGCCTTGATGATAATGTAGTGTCCTTTGGATTATTTCGGTATTGCTGAAGTAGTTTGAATGGTTCTTCATAATGAAAGGCTTAATATACTAAAAGTAAGACTTTTTTGTAGGTTTATTCAGCTCTCATTTTAGTACTGAAAATATTATTGGTTGTGGTCAATTTTTAAAAAACTCAGTGATCTCTTTGGGGAGTGGAGAAGACAAGTGATAATCTTTACCCTTCCTAGGACTGGGCATCTCTGAGCTCATTTTTTCTGCCATGGTAAAGATTAAACCATGTCTGCGGCTTGGATGACATGATAGAATTGTTCTGGGGCAGTGAACGTTAGCTGAATAATTCCTTCTGGCCTTTCTCTTGTTCTCTAATCTTTGCTGTCTTGCCGAAACTTGAAGGTGACCTGCAAACTTTTTTCTAAAAAAGATAATGGTAGTTATTTGCTGAATGCCCCAAATATCAAAGAACAGGAGGACATTTTGCTAAAAATTAATGGTAAACTAATTTGAGAACCTACAACACTGATTTCTAGGTCCTGAGGTTTCTCTCAATCACTTAACCAGTATGCATTGCTCTGAGATATTCCAAACAAAAGGACTTTCACTGCAGTGATGGAGATACCCCTGGGGGTGCAGATTAATGTTATTTTTAGTACATATTAAAAACAGGGTGACCCGGGAGTGCCCAGTTTATTACAGCTCCAGTGGAGTCCCTGGTATATTTGATATCCCAGACCTATGTGCTGTGGCTTCACAGCGACTGGGAGCTCGAAGAGCAGTATTAAGGACCACAAATAAATTAATTTGAAAAAATGGACAGTTATTTGCTGAATGCCCTTCTGCCCCTTGCTCCTTGAGACATTCAGAGTGAAATTCACTCTGGTGGGCTCAGTGCAAAGATTATGCAGCCCTGAGGTCCCACTTTAGCCCTATTTTGAGGATTTAAGTGGACTTTACAGTGTATGTAGGCTTTGTTCTTGCCTTCTGCATGGGGATGATTTTCACTAAATGACAATACCATTGCTGACACCACAAAATATGGTCCCCTGAGTGACTGATCTTAGGGGCTGAGCAAATATAGCTAGGATTTCTTGCAAGTAGCCAAAGCACTTTAATATCCAAGTTTATTTTGCAAAAGGCCCTGATCACCAAACGATTTGAACTGGACAGGATATAATTACTGGGCCAGATTTATGAGTGCTGGCAGGTCTAAACTACACCTTGAGTGGGTATTCATCCCAAAGGAGGACTGCTCTCTTTTGTTTGCAGCCAGGGCTCAATATAAAACCCACCAGTGAAGGCTGCTGAGGGGATGTGCCAAATCAACACATTCCCTGTTCATGGCCCCCTCCTTGGCCCATGCACCCACTTTCTAGGCTATGCTGGTCCCTATACAGTAGCAGAGTGGTAGTTATGGCCACTTTGTGCAGCTAAAACCTCTCTTGGTAGAACTTCTGCACCAGGTTCCTGCAAGCGGCATAGGCACCAGGTTCAGTTTAGCTCCGCTGTTCCACGTCTCACAAGAGGGGTCTGGATCCTTTCTTTGGAAGGAAAGTATTTCATTAATAGTCAGAAGGCACCCAGTGGCCTTTGGTAACTCAGCTGAACCCCTGTGAATCAAAAAGACATTTCTTAATGTGCATATGTGCAGGGGGAATGCAAGTAATTGTGCATCAGATACAGAATAAATCTGGAGTTTATTTGTCCTGGGATTTATCTTATTTTTATTTTACAGTGTCATCCACCCATGTGGTTTTGCTGAATTGAAGTATCTAATCTAACATCTGGATTAGAGTCCCTGAAATGTTATTGTCCCAATGTCCATGTTGTTTACTATGTCTTGTTTTTCTTCTCTCATGACAGTCATCCGAGCCAAAGTGGTGGGGAAGAAGCTCATGAAAGATGGACCCTTTGGAACGATGCGATACACCGTCAAGCAGATGAAGGTGCGTATGTGTGTAGGCACCTCATGCTAGGTTTAGCTTCCAAGGCAATTCTAGTTACTTGCTGATCACTAACACTGGCTGCTTTTAGGACCCAGTCCTGCTAGTTACTGAGCACCTTCAACATCCTTAGTGATTAATGGGAGTGGAGGGTGGTCAACAATTTACAGAATCATACCTTCAAAGAGAGAGAGAGAGAGAGAGAGATTAAAGAGAGGCTGTAGGCCATGCCTACCACATAATGCTGAGTATTTAGGGTTTTCCTTTATTCTTAATACTTATGGTAGTGAAAGATGCCAGAGTGACAGCTCTGGATACTGAAGTCCTGTTTATCCCCAGCAGATACAGTGTAGGCAGCAGAAGTGCAGGCTTCTCTATGTGGCCCTACCAATAAGCTTCAGATCTGTTCTAGTGGGACTACTTGTCTGGGGATAGGTCGTTCAGCCTCTTCTTGCCTTGGCTTCTCTGCTGAGACCGCCAACAAGCGTGTCAGTTAGAATGGTTTCAGAGTAGCAGCCGTGTTAGTCTGTATCCGCAAAAAGAACAGTTGTAATATTGCGACTTTTAGGTCTGTAATCGAGTGACCTGAACAAAACAAAACAAAACCAAAAAAACTTCAAAAAGAGACTTCAACGAGAGACTGCTGAATTGGAATTCATTTGCAAACTGGACACTATTAAATTAGGCTTGAATAAATACTGGGAGTGGATGTGTCATTACACAAAGTAAAACTATTTCCCCATGTTTATTTTTCTCCCCTACTGTTCCTCACACGTTCTTGTCAACTGCTGGAAATGCCCCATCTTGATTATCACTACAAAAGGTTTTTTTTCTCTCCTGCTGGTAGTAGCTCACCTTAATTGATCACTCTCATTATAGTGTGTATGGCAACACCCATTGTTTCATGTTCTCGGTGTATATATATATATATATCTTCCTACTGTATTTTCCACTGCATGCATCCAATGAAGTGGGTTTTAGCCCACGAAAGCTTATGCTCAAATAAATTTGTTAGTCTCTAAGGTGCCACAAGTACTCCTGTTCTTTTTTCAGTTTGAATGGTGGCAGTTATCATGTGGATATTTGTCCAGTATGAGCTGGACTAAGAAAGCAAACATGCTTCACAAAGACCACTCAGCAGCTTAGAGAGACTAGTTGGGCCCTACTGCCCCTCTGTCACAATTTAGGGGGAGGAAGGTGTGACTGGGTCACATTTGAGTTAGTGGTGCTTTGTCTCCAGGTGCCAGATTGTAATACCCAAAGCAAGGAGCTGGGCTTAGCCCCATGGGACACAGGAGCCAACGCTCTGGGGCAAATGAGAGGCAAACTCACCCCCTAGAGCCTTCCCGCTGTACCAGGAAGGCGACCCACCTAGATCCTCACCGCAGGAAGTCATGGACAAACAGAAATGGTACCCATAACCTTTTCTGCACCATGATGAACCCGCAGTTCTACTTATAGCCGAAACAGATTTCACTTAACCTGTTGCTTTGGACGTTTTTTTTTTTTTTTTGGCCAGCTGACCCCTTGTTATGTAATGTTAAAAAATCAGCCCTAGTTTGTTTTTCTTGGCTGCAGCGTTCCAGTCATAAGACTGGTTTATGTCTTTTATAAAAGAAAAGGAATGAAAAGGCCTTGGCAGCTGTTGCAGAAATCTGAAACATATTAGAGAAAGTAAAGGTTCAGGAAAATGTGCCTGCCTTGTAACAGTAACTCTCTTTATAAGGCAGTTTATAGCTAAGCAACAAAGCTGTGAGGAGGAGACATAAAGCCTGTTTCATAAGCTATCACAAAGCTTCACGTTACCAAAGTCAGCCTTAGCAGGGCTCTTTCCCTGGAGTGGAATTTTTGCACTTCACATAAGAGGGTGTGAAGTGCTGGGGTTATGTATTTGCTTATGCTTTGCTTTGAAAAATGTCTGTGAATTTTGTGCACATGAAAGGAAACGACTGATAACATTGGCTAGAGCAAGACAGTGCGGCCACACCCCTCCCTTTGGCAATCACCTCAGTCCTCACCAGCAGCACTCTGCGATGTGCCAGTCCTGTTTTGCCACCCCCCAACTCTACCTGTGCACCTCACCGCCAGTGCTATTCAGCATCTGCACGCTGCAGCCCATGACCCTCATTCACCTCCCCAGTAGCATCTCCTGCTATTCTGCACTCTCCGTCTTCAGGCACACAGACAGATTTCAGGTATTAAGCGCCTCATGTAGAATCACAGAGTAAGTGAACAATAAATTCCCCACCAGACATCATAAGGGCAGTTAACTTCTGCCTTGTCTACCAATTACTGATAGTAAGGTCACCACAGCACTGTTTGTCCCATGTCTGTTATGAAGAGGGTCAGATCGTACTCGCCGAAATCCCCAACAGCGATTCAAAAATATTGCCAGAGGGAGGGAGGAAACAAATATGGCTCAGCAGTTTCATGACAGCCTTCAAGGGCTTAGGACTCCCTTGGTCTAGCAATAAGGGAATCTGAGGAGTCCCTTAATTTGGCAAAAGCAGTGTCTGTCCTGCTGGCAGAAGGAGAAGGCATTCCAATCTGGGAATAATGTAGCCGACGCTAGTTCAAGACAAGTAGAGGTTTCCATGAGTCTGGGCCACTGTCAGAGAGAGGAGAGAACTCCCTGTGTCTGGAATAACACCGGTTCTACCCCACTGTCAGCCAAGGGCTCCTCATGACAGTGTCCTCTGTGATAGTGATATGTGATTTTGACTGGGATTTAGGCAGTCATCTTGAAGTAGACTATAGCAGTGTCCCTGATATTAGTCATAATTCTGCCTGCAGACATGGGAAATGCAAACCTAGACAAGGTGAGAGAGTTGAGTGGGAAAAGATCCCCACTCAGTTCTCGTACCTTGTCTGGCTTTGCATTTCCCACATTTGCACTCTATTGTGAAAAGTCACCCAGTTGTACTCCAAAGCATTTCAGTTAGGGAAACCAAACTGTAGGAGGTTTTCCTGTTCTGTTTGCATTAGATTGTGCTGCTATATGGGGGCATGGGTCTTTACAGCAGATATCCCACTAATCCACATGTATCTATGCCAAGACTGAAAGAGGAGAATTGTCTTTGCAGAAGTTGATCCAAATGTTTTGTTAGGAAACCACGTCCCCAAGAAAAGCCTGTGAGGTTTTATTTTCAACAAGCGGTTGCATGTGTTGGCCAGTGTTGGTCTATTGGCACACTGTGCCGTACTGTGGGGGTGATATGTTGTGTCACATGTTTTAACCTGATCTTGGACAGGAAGGAACCTGTAGCGATCAAACTATTCAGCTTAACTGGAACATCCTGCAGACATAACTTTCAATAAACAATCTGAGCATCTTCTTTTAAACCCCACTGTCTGTCTGCTGCACTTAGAGTGCTCAGTAGAAAGGCATTCAGTGGATGATGTGGGGGAGCAGAAGCTGGTGTGGTACATCTTTCCTGCTCTCACCCCAGTGAAGTCCTACTCTACTCCTGCTGGAAAGAAAAGCTTACTAGGCATCTTGCTTTGCACAGCTGCCTGTAAACAGTACTGATGATAAAACTATTATGTCCGTGTTTGCTGGACACCTTTAAGCCGTCCCGCACCCACAAATGAAAAACAAACAAGCAATTTACTTCAGCAGCATGTGCCAAATTGTCTGGCTAACCAGGCTGAGTGGCATTGAGCATGTTAAGTAATAACAATCTATTTTTGTATTTCTTTTTTGGTCCTCTGATTTCTTTTGGGCCAGCTCCCACACTTCTGTGATGTCCCACAATTCATCAGGTGATGTTACAGTTAGACGCCCAGGGGCCTGGATGGAGAGCATAGGGCCAGCCCGTAGATGCAGGACAGTGGAAGGTTTTTTAGCACAGAGGTTTGTAGTTTTGAAAATCTTGTAATTATTTATTCCCTTTTGGGATCTAAAATACTTCAAACGTCTTTCAAAACTGCATGCCAAAAATCTTCACTGAGCTGATAGGACGTGGCTCTATACACCAGTGTAATTTCTTGGTACTGTAAGCTGTGATATCACAATGCATTCTAGGAACTATCCAGAACGACTTCAGGGACCCGAAAAGGAAATATAGATCAGATTTTAATACTCTGCATGTTTGCTCAATCCCATTGTAGGCTGGCTAAGCAGGAGCATTGACCTAAAGTGTTGCCTAAAGAAAATGGCTTGTTTCTTTAGCTTGTAGCTCACCTTTAATGTGAGGTAAGGGGGTGAAACAGTGGCAGTCATAAGAAGAAAGAGCTGGTGTCTAATTTACCCTCAGTTAAAGTTCACAGGGGAAAATAATCCTGTCACAGGACATCACAGTACTAAATTCATCATGAAATAAGAGGAACCAGATGATTTGCATATGCTTTTCTGTGGTAGAGTTCCACCTAATCTCGAAGAATGGGGTTTGCTAATGGGAATGCTGACACAACCGGAACTTGTGCAGCAGTAGCAGGCACTGCCATGCAATGCTTGTTAATACTTTGCTCCCTGTCATTAGATTTCCTAAAATACACAACTGTGATGACAGGATGACTCTGAGGGTAGCAGTTAAGAGAGAGGCTGGTTTATGGCTGACTTTCTTCTACTAATCTAATGGAACTTGCAGGGTATTTTATGTATCCAGAAACAATGCTTGGGATTTATTTATTTATTTATTATTAGGGAAAGAGTCCTCTGTAGAAAACTTCCCTTTCCTGGATTTTCTCACAGGTTTGTACTCCCTCCCCAAAGTCTCCATGTCACAGTGACTGTCCTTCAGTTGAAGGGGAGTGGATGGGACTCTCTCTTGAGAGCCCATCAGTACAGCTCCTAGAATCAGCTGGAGGAGTCACTGCAATGTGAGGTGAAGTACTTCTCCAGGGACAGAGCATGCTGCCTTTTGCAGCGCTTCCAGTCCCTGTTGATTTATTGAACAAGGGAACACACTCAGGAATTAAACCTGAGCCTCATCTGGCAGTGCAGTATCACTCGTTACCTGTTCAATGCCTATGATGTGCTTGATGTTATCCAAAAGGACACAGTCTCTGTTGTTATAGTTTATACCATCTAAGGTGTGGCCCCCATTACTGTAGTATCTCAGTGCCTCACAATCTTTAATTTATTTTCATAGCATCCCTGTGAGGTAGAGATATTATCCCCATTTTACAGATGAGGAAGTGAGGCACAGGGAGACAAAGTGACTTGTGCAGTCACAGGAAGTCTGTGGAGGAGCAGGCAATTAAACCCAGCTCTCCCAAGTCCTAGGTTAGTGCCCTAACCACGGGACCACCTACAAACATACAGCATAAATCAGGAAATCAAAGTATATCCCCTGGAGAGCAACAAAATTGCAAGTATAACAACACATGGATGAGGCAAAGCATGCAAGGATTAACTATTCAATGGGAGGCTTATGCTCAGTTAAGTATATACTTACATAATCCAAGCACGATGCTTGCACTTCTACTGGTATGGAATGATTAACTTCAAAAAATACTTTCCTCACATAGTTGTCAGGCATAATTAGAAGTAAGACTGGAGAATACAAGCTCTTTGGAATGAATTTTGCTTTATGTAATATTGCTGTTATACAGTAACAGTACTGCTAGATCACTGCTAGTGATCAGTGCAGTATAAATATGGAGAGGTAAGACAAATAGAAAAGTCACTGGATGACCCAGGAGATGGTTTTATCTCAGAGCATAGCAAGACTTTTTAAAATGTGTTTTTAAATGGGAGTGTGGCAGCTGTGGTTGGGCCTGGTCCAAAGTCTGTTGAAGTCAATGGGCTCTAGTTTAGGCCCTTAATGAAGGAAAGGTGGCATTTGGTGAGTTTTAAGAAAGAACTTAGTTAAGGAGGTATATGAATGAACAACGAATGTACACATGGACACTGGGATCATAGGGGATTCCAGGAAAAGGGCGTAGCACGGGAGAAGGTGTGCAGGACACTTCCCAGTTGACACAATGACAAGAATTTATAGCTTTTGGGGTTTGTTTTGCTTAGATATTTCCAGTTATAAAAGTGGGAGAGAAACTTCAAGCTGGCAAAGCTGGTGTCTTAATGGTGATGCAGTAGAAAGATAGGGGGAAAAGGATAGTGGCAGATCTAGAGGAGACAGTGAGGTTGAATGCATTGAGCATCTACTTCTTGTGAACCTAAGTTCCAGTGAGGATTTGATCTCAAGTGAGTTTTGTGGGCTTGGGCAGTTAGGGGGAGAAACTTCAGGAAATTGTGATTCCCCTCATCCTCCAGTGTTTCTGTCTAAATTTTGGCCACCGATACAGCTGGTCAAAAAAAAAAAAAAAAAAAAAAAAAAACCAGCAGAAAAGCATCATGAAAATTTAGCCAAATACTTTTTGTTGTTGACATTTTCAGGAAAACAGTCATTGAAATTCCACCCCCCTGCGCCCCAAAATATTGACCAGCCTTAATCTTCATTCTTAGGGGTTATTTTATTCACATGACTCCACACACTTCAGCGTGATAGGTAGTTTGCTTTCAAGAGTGCTGCTGATCCAGACTGGGGAAGGTCAAACTAATTTCTTTCTAATTTCATATCTACTTGAACACTTGTGGGTTCTATCAAACTTGAACTTAACTGGGCTTCCACTTAAGAGAGGATGTGGGGACAGAGCAGCTGGTAGAGAAATTCTACAGGAACAATAAAGAATCTAGATGTTAATATCACCAATATGGTGCTCATTTGTACTAGTTTGGGGGAAGGCTGTTTTTTTAATACATAGCAAAAGCGTTTCTTTAGCTAGAGAAATATTAAGCCCCAGCTGAAGTCATGGGGAGCTGTGAGTGCTTAACATAGCCAACGATCAGGCCTTGTGGCAGGTACTTCAAATTGAGCACCCAAACCGAAAAATCCAAAATAATGGAGCCTGGAAAAGTTGGGCCTTATTTATTTTTTAAAAAAATCTCCCTTGGGGAAAGAGAAATTGTTTAAATTACAGGAAACCAGATTCATAAACTCAAATCAATTGTGCAGCTTCTGCCAGAAATAGCTTGCGACGTTTGTGAACCTTGGAAATGCAGGCGATGTGACCACTTCAAGTCAGAAGTGAGGTGGAGTGGGAAAGGTGGTATGTTAGTGCAGGGTGGCAACGGATTGTTGCGGTGAAGATGCTCATGTATTGGCCGACTTGGGGGGGAGGCTTGCAAATCACATCACCTACAGTACGCCAGAGTCCTGCTAGTAGCGTCTGGTCCTCGCTTTCAAGAGTGCTACAGTTCACTGCCCAGAATCACGGCCTACGGATACCAGTAAGGGAGCCAAAGGAAATTCCAGCAGCATGCTGAAAAACTGTCCTCCTTAGAGTCTAACACAACTTTATTTATTCCTTCAGATGTACAGGGGCTTTGACACGATGCCACAAGTTCAGTATATCTACACAGAAGCCTCAGAGAGTCTTTGTGGGGTCAAGCTAGAGGTCAACAAGTACCAGTATCTGATTACAGGTAAGGGACCACTGGAGTTTCTCATGATCAGGACCTCTTTTCTGTCTGTATCTGTACTTGCCAAACACTCACACGGAATGGGGGTAGGTAGGTCAGCTCTATAAGCAGGTTCTTAAAGACAGCGCCTGTCTGCTTCCCTGTGCTGAAATACTGCATAAAACATAGAATGCAGTGACAATCAGTCAGTAGCATTCCAGTCTCCGGGGATTGCCTCTCCATTAGCAACACATTCCTCTACTTTTGTTCCCTCCCCTTAAATCTCTCCAGTTTACAAACCACATATCCAGTGTTGAGCATTTTTTGTGACAATAAGTGGCTATTAATGCATAACTGAGCTGGTGTGCCCACCACAGTACAGGCCAGTGTGATTCGAAACAGCAAGGCGCCGCTCTGCTGAGCTAGAAATGGAAAAGCCTGTTTGGACCAAGTGAGTTGTTAAGATGAGGATGCAAAAAGAATTGGGACAGCACATGCCAAGTCCTGTTTCTCTCTTAAGGTGCCGGCGCACTTACACCTTGCACTGTTGCAGAGGGGAATGTGATGGTTGTGGTCACTGGCATGCTGCTGGGGATTCTCACAGCTGGTACAAAGCTTCCAACTTGTGGAAGTGCCATAGTCTCACTCACTAATCCCATAGCTAATAGAAGAAAATAAACTGATTGCTGAACTGTGACTAAAGGCATACACGTGGTATTGAGAACATTAGCAGGCTCAGGAAACTGTCTGACTGAACTGAGAACAACTAATTTGTGTCCCTGTCTGTGTTTTCCAGGCCGTGTGTATGAAGGAAAGGTTTATACTGGCCTGTGTAACTTGTATGAGAAATGGGACCGACTGACTCTGTCCCAGCGCAAAGGACTAAATCATCGTTACCACCTCGGTTGTGGCTGCAAGGTATGTATTGCCTCCAGTTAGATGCAATTAAAAGCCTAATCCTAGAACTGTGCTCATTGCAGCTTATAGCAATAATGCAGGTGAACTATCAGGGAAGGAACCAAAGGGCAAGAGTTTTTTTACAGAAGGCAAAACAAGACAAATTTTGCTCCTCACGGGTTTCACAACGTAGTGAACAAGTTAAAGTTTTCTGCCTGCGCCTTTTCTATGAACCTTTTGGTATAATTTGGCAGGGTGGGGCAGAATCTCTGAAAATTTCACAAACATTATTTTGCAGATCAGCGAAATTATGTGCAGAGCTGCTGGGAAAATGTGTTAAGCTTTTTTCCCCCTGAAAACATTTTGAGTGATTAAAAGTTCAGAACTTATCTCTAAGACTTTGCACTCAGCTCCCATCCTGCAAATACTTAGGCACATGCTTGATTCTAAGCCAGAGGTTCCCAAACTGTGGAGCACAGTGATACGGTTATCGAGGGAGTACAAAGACCTGATGGAGCCACTCTGAAAGGCTGGAGTTAAGAGGGGGCTCTGTCCGGCAGGGGAAGTGGACAGGGCACTGTGCAGGTGGTCTCGACTCCCAAGACCAGGCTCCCTGCCTGCCTTGCTCCCTCACCACTGCAACAGTCACAACCCAGCAGTTATGCTCCTCTGCTGGGAATATTAGCAGAGACTGTGTGAGTGGGGAACGAAAGGCTATACCCCGGGAGTACTGACCCACCTGCCAGAGAGAGCCCCTTCCTGACCCTGGCCAGACAGAGCCTGTGCAAGGAAAGCAGACAGGGCCGCACTCAAGGGCTGGAGTCAGCAGGGTTCCCTGTACAGCAGGGGGCCAGTACTCATGGGTGCAGCCTTCCACTCTGGTCCTGACCCTGGCCCTTCAGTGCTGCCCTGCACAGGCGGGGAGCGAAATGGGCAGGGAGCTGTGTCCCGGTAGCCAACACTACCTGACTGCTGCAGGGAGTGGAAGGTTTCCTCAGCTGCCACATGGTTAGTGTCCCCCACCCCTGGCCCCTGTGGGTACAGGGTATTCCTTCCCCATAACCCTGTTAAAAAGAAGGGTGTGGTCATTGGACATGAACCTCTGAAGGGGCGCTCAGCAAAGAAAAGTTTGGGAACCTCTGGAAGACAAGTAATGGTGCGGGAGGGGGAGCGACAAATCCCATGAATGGTAAGGTAGGCATGACTGGAAACGTTTGCGCACCACTGTTCTAAGCACCCGAACAGTGCCATTGACATTAATGGCACTGCTTGTGTGGGCAAGTTAAGAACACGTTTAGGTGTTTGCAAGATCGGGGCTTAATTTTTTAGTTAGCACGTTAGTGCTTAAAAAGAATTTCAAAAACACCAAAGTCCTATAAAATGTGCCTTCAATTTACCCCTATTCCACTTGCTGATTATAATTGCAGATTAAACCCTGCTACTACCTGCCCTGCTTTGTGACCTCCAAGAACGAGTGTCTTTGGACAGACATGCTCTCCAACATCGGTCATTCAGGGTCCCAATCAAAGCACTATGCCTGCATCCGACAGAAGGAAGGATACTGCAGCTGGTACAGAGGATGGGCGCCTCCTGATAAAACTATCATCAACGCCACAGATCCCTGAGCACAGTCCCTTCCCCATTTCCTTTCCTCCCTCCCTTGTGGCTGAGCTTCTCTTGGACAATAACTTCTACCAGATCATGATGATGACAATGAAATTAGTGCCTGTTTTCTTTCAAATTTTAGCACTTCGAACACTTAAAAAAAAGAAAAAGTCTATGCTGTCATACTGAATTTGTTTTTAATCACTTTTCGATTCTGAGATCACCCATTTCAGTCAGATTATATTTGTCTGGGAACTTTCGTTTGCACACCGGAAAAAAAATTATGGAGCCCTTGCTCTCTCTATGTATCATTATCTATAGCAATATAATCTATATTTTTTTAGGAAAACAAAAATATAAAAACTATCCCAGTTCGGCACTATATCATTCTTCCTTGCCCTGGCTTCCCCAAGCCCTCTTCGCACACTCACTGCACAAATTATGTAGACTGAAGCTATTTGAAGGGGAAACTGGTTTCATTACCTAGATCAGTAAATAAAACAAACAAACCCCTATTCAAATCGGGAATTTTGGAAGTGTGATTGGCTCCAGAAGTGGGAGAACTCAGTTGGTGTTAAGACACTGCATCATCTGATAAAAGCACCAAGGACTGAATGTCCTCCTTGCTCATTCAGTCACAGTGTGAAGGCAAGAGCACACTGGAAGTTCTGGGGTTCCATAGAACATAAAGAGAGGTTTATTATTATCATGAGGTTTTTGAAATAAAACCTGCATTCAGGGAGGTAATTCACCTAAGTACAATGCAGCAGGTGAAATGCTGAGCTTCTCTCTTTTAAACAGAGTTACTCCTGAAATTTTTGCAGTTTAGCTCCTGCAGAAAAATTCCCTTGTGAACATCTTAAACCAAACAAATGAAAATTATCAATACTAAAAATCAATCAATCACTCCCATGGAGAGGGGGAAAGGGGAGACTCACTAGGGTTTATTGCTATAAGAAATCTATTGCCAAAATAGTGTTTAGCTGAAGTAAGATGTATATACACATAATGACATAAGCTATTTTTGACAGGACGTGGAATTATTTGGTGTTATAAACAATGAATGCTTTGATTGTGTTTTAAAACAGAAATCTTGACATTCCGAGTCAGTGATTTATTTTTGGTAAAAGATGTTGAAACTCCAGTGTACCTGCAGTAGTGGTTAGAATCACTGTTTCATGCCCTCTTCCCCAACCATGGCTTACCTCCTACAGCTACACTGGCTGCAGTTGTATATGTAGTGAAAGCAAAAGCTGGCAGAGTGAGGCAAGGAAAAGCAACATCTTGACAGGCACCTCCTAGAACTTTAAATTTCAGCTGTCCAGTGGATTCCAAGTGGGTCAAGTGCTCTGTTTCCCCCAAGCTGTTGTTAATATAGCTATGGGCACACGTTTTTTCCACGTCCTGAGGCGACATGGGGGAAGGGATGGTCCTGGCTTCACTGTCGACTGGAGGATTTTTTTGTTCTGTTTTGTTTTTATTAAGAAAACTATAATATAAATTTTCTTATTAAATAAAAATATTTTAAGGTTTAATGTTGATGAGGAGGGGTTGCTGACAAAATGGGTGATTGTATATTTTACCGAGTGTACGGGGGAGGAGGGCAACACTTAACAACATTATTTGTGTTTGTTTTTTATTATTATAATTATTTATCTTACATAGACATGTATCTTCAGTTCATTCCACTTAGGAAGCAGAGCTGCTGTCAGCAAGAAAAGGCATTGCAGTCATCCTAGACAGGGACAATATAGCATTCTCTATGCAGTGATCTTTTCAATTTGTTTGAGGCTTCTTCGCCATTATGAGACGGGGAAGAGTGTATTCTAGTGTTGGGATTGATGCAGCAATCATTTTGGGGCTTCTTTGACTTCAATGGAGCTATGCTGATTTACACCAGTTGAGGATCTGGCCCATTTATAAGCAGACACTTACAGGAGAATGTAGGTGTTTGGCTTAAATGGCATTTTCATAGAATCGTTTGGATTAGAAAGAACCTTGGGTGGAATCGTCAACAATGCCTATGTGGTTTAGGAGCACTCAGCTCACTGAAAGTCAATGGGGCTTGTGCCTAGGCGCACTTAAAAATGCCACCCCTTGTCTCTACCCTTAAATTATGGACCTGGTCATCAAAGGCAATAAGCATCATCAAACCCTACTGATATCAGGGGGAGATTAGGTTGCTTTTTAGGATCAGGTGCTATATCAGGCTGCTTCCCTTTTCAGCTGGGCATCATCAAGTTGGGCCGTAAGCACAGGGGACCAATTTCTGCTCTGTTCCATCTGTGCAACTGCAGAGCTTTCTTATGCGTCTCTAGCAATGATAATTCCACCAGCACACTTCACAACTTGTGGAGTGACCATCACTGGAGCTAACCAAGGCCTGACCCAACTACCATTCGATCAAAGGTTCTTTAGCAATCATTAAACCATTGAGCACAGCCATTTCTCCGAGCTTTGGAAGGCGAGATGAAGCTTGTCATGCAATGAGTTGTCAGGCATTGATTTGGATTTCCATTAAACTGTGGCTCTGTATTTTACCTGCTCACTGACTGTATAATTTAAAATCATATAAATAGCTGAAACATTACAGTATTGCAATCACATTATTGTGAAAATCTTTATTTTGTTGCTACAAAGATGTGTGTTCCTAGGTGGGCTGTAATGTATCTATGCGCTTTGTAAACAAACAACCAACAAAAACCCCAACGCTGCTATCAACAGAGTTATTTTCCTATCCAGATTTCCATTTCATATTGCAGAGGGTAAAAATATGTTTGACATGCAGACAGCTAGACTGGTAAAGGCGGGGGCTTGGAAAGCAACCCTCTCCCTTGCCAAATAAAGATGCAGCCGTAGAGGCTTTTTAAAATGTGGAACCAAATAGAGGGAAAGAGTAAGGGGGAAGAAACCAGCACAAAATACATTTCTTTTAGGAGGCTTTGAGGTTTTTTTAAATGAATACTATCAGGGACAGATATTTTGTGGACTAAGCTTGCCCTTGCATTATAAGGGGCTTGTCCAAAGCCCATTGGAATCAATCGGTGTTTTTCCATTGACTTAAATGGGCTTTGGGGTCAGGCACCTAAATTTCTGCCTCACTCTCTACTCTTCCCTTGCCTCACTGAAGATCACTCCAGCCTGCCAAGGCACAACTCCCTCCTTCTAGATTACAACAGGCCTTGCAGTATGTAAGCACTCTGTCTGGAGGACAGGAGTGAAGCTCCCGTCAGGGTGTTGTTTTCCCAGGTTAGCGTGGGTTGCTGTTGCATAAATCTCTTGCTGCTTCCCCTTTGTTGCGAAGGTTGAAATGTGGCCTCTAACATCCCCACCAGCCATGCTCTGTGCTGAAAGGGACACTGTCAATGGGACTACTTACATCTGTGTCCGCATGATCAGGGCCTTAGTTTTTAACAAACACACTTTTACTAGGTTTTAAATAAATCAATATTATTAAAACTCCATTTTTACAAACCTAATTCACTTTTCTAGACTATTTTTGCAGTTTCCTTATTTCCATTTTGTTTTGTTGCTTAGAATCATAGAATATCAGGGTTGGAAGGGACCTCAGGAGGTCATCTAGTCCAACCCCCTGCTCAAAAGTAGGACCCATACCCAATTAAATCATCCCAGCCAGGGCTTTGTCAAGCCTGACCTTAAAAACTTCTAAGGAAGGAGATTCCACCACCTCCCTAGGCAACGCATTCCAGTGTTTCACCACCCTCCTAGTGAAAAAGTTTTTCCTAATATCCAACCTAAACCTCCCCCACTGCAACTTGAGACCATTACTCCTTGTCCTGTCCTCTTCCACCACTGAGAATAGTCTAGAACCATCCTCTCTGGAACTACCTCTCAGGTAGTTGAAAGCAGCTATCAAATCCCCCCTCATTCTTCTCTTCTGCAGGCTAAACAATCCCAGTTCCCTCAGCCTCTCCTCATAACTCATGTGTTCCAGACCCCTAATCATTTTTGTTGCCCTTCGCTGGACTCTCTCCAATTTATCCACACCCTTCTTGTAGTGTGGGGCCCAAAACTGGACACAGTACTCCAGATGAGGCCTCACCAATGTCCAATAGAGGGGGACGATCACGTCCCTCGATCTGCTCGCTATGCCCCTACTTATACATCCCAAAATGCCATTGGCCTTCTTGGCAACAAGGGCACACTGCTGGCTCATATCCAGCTTCTCGTCCACTTTTCCGCAGAGCTGCTGCCTAGCCATTCGGTCCCTAGTCTGTAGCTGTGCATTGGGTTCTTCCGTCCTAAGTGCAGGACCCTGCACTTATCCTTATTGAACCTCATCAGATTTCTTTTGGCCCAATCCTCCAATTTGTCTAGGTCCTTCTGTATCCTATCCCTCCCCTCCAGCGTATCTACCTCTCCTCCCAGTTTAGTATCATCCGCAAATTTGCTGAGAGTGCAATTCACACCATCCTCCAGATCATTTATGAAGATATTGAACAAAACCGGCCCCAGGACCGACCCCTGGGGCACTCCACTTGACACCGGCTGCCAACTAGACATGGAGCCATTGATCACTACCCGTTGAGCCCGACAATCTAGACAACTTTCTACCCACCTTATAGTGCATTCATCCAGCCCATACTTCCTTAACTTGCTGACAAGAATACTGTGGGAGACCGTGTCAAAAGCTTTGCTAAAGTCAAGATACAATACATCCACTGCTTTCCCTTCATCCACAGAACCAGTAATCTCATCATAGAAGGCGATTAGATTCGTCAGGCATGACCTTCCCTTGGTGAATCCATGCTGACTGTTCCTGATCACTTTCCTCTCATGTAAGTGCTTCAGGATTGATTCTTTGAGGACCTGCTCCATGATTTTTCCGGGGACTGAAGTGAGGCTGACTGGCCTGTAGTTCCCAGGATCCTCCTTCTTCCCTTTTTTAAAGATTGGCACTACATTAGCCTTTTTCCAGTCATCCGGGACTTCCCCCGTTCGCCACGAGTTTTCAAAGATAATGGCCAATGGCTCTGCAATCACAGCCGCCAGTTCCTTTAGCACTCTCGGATGCAACTCATCCGGCCCCATGGACTTGTGCACGTCCAGTTTTTCTAAATAGTCCCTAACCACCTCTTTCTCCACAGAGGGCTGGCCATCTATTCCCCATGTTGTGATGCCCAGCACAGCAGTCTGGGAGCTGACCTTGTTAGTGAAGACAGAGGCAAAAAAAGCATTGAGTACATTAGCTTTTTCCACATCCTCTGTCACTAGGTTGCCTCCCTCATTCATTAAGGGGCCCACACTTTCCTTGGCTTTCTTCTTGTTGCCAACATACCTGAAGAAACCCTTCTTGTTACTCTTAACATCTCTCGCTAGCTGCAGCTCCAGGTGCGATTTGGCCCTCCTAATTTCATTCCTACATGCCCGAGCAATATTTTTATACTCTTCCCTGGTCATATGTCCAACCTTCCACTTCTTGTAAGCTTCTTTTTTATGCTTAAGATCTGCTAGGATTTCACCGTTAAGCCAACCTGGTGGCCTGCCATACTTACTATTCTTTCGACACATCGGGATGGTTTGTCCCTGTAACCTCAACAGGGATTCCTTGAAATACAGCCAGCTCTCCTGGATTCCTTTCCCATTCTCTGAGCTTGGATAACGGATCCGTCAGTTTCACTTTCAAATCCAATTTCACTTTCCAGTTCTCATCACAAGCACAGTACTGGAATGTTCTGACTGCCAACTCTGCCTGGGGGCTCTTGGTTTCTTTAAATATTGTTTCCTTTTAAAGTTGGGAGGGGGGTTGTTCCCCCTCCCCATTTTTTTTCTTTAGGGAAAAGGGGGAGGGGGATTATCTGTATGTGGAATTTCCTGTGCAGAGTCCCACTGAAGTCAATAGGGCTCTGTGCAGACAGAGCACTCCACCAACACAGTGTAAACCTCAGGATCAGGGCCTAATTTTGGTGTGCCAAACATGACCCTCATCTACACTTTGAACTGGGGTGTAATTCCCCACTGGAGTAGACAAACCCACTCTAGTTCTGATTGGAGCACCAGTGGAGGTACAGGTTAGTCACTCCAAGTACAGTACGTGTCTAGTGTCTCAGAGGGATGCTATTTGGCAGCTAGCCCCTCCTGCCACTCCGGCTACGCTCTGTTATTAGCACATTAGTACTTGCAACCCCAGGTCAGAGTGTAGACATACCCTTAATATGTCTGACTCATCAACGTAGACCTTCCACGCTCACCAGTGGGGAAAATGCTATCTCAGGGTGCCCATGAACATACCACTTAATAAGAACTCAAAGTGAAGGCACAAGGAAGAAAGAGTTCCCATTGTTTCACAGGACTTGCCAGGTATATTTCTTCAACTTTTTTCAAAATATTCTAAGTCTATGAATCCTTTGTATTTTGGAAGGGAGTGACAAAATTCAAAGGATGGTGCAAACTTTTTTTTTTTTCCCATGTAGCTCAAAGTTTTCTATCCACCAAATCTTGACAAAATCCTTAAAAAAAAAAAAAATCCACTAAGCCTATGTTGCTGCTTTTGTTGTAGTGGCTTAATCAGTATCTTGGTCACTCCCTTTTCTTCACTGAGCCCCTCTGCTGTTCCTGGTAGTCACAGAAATTTGGGGAAAGGAAACGAAGCCTGGGAGAAAATTTTATCCAGAAGAAATATATTTGTTGCTAAATTCTGTAACACTAGTTTACAGTTTTCCTCCATGCTATTTATAAATTTTATACTCAATGTATACTGTCTTTAAGGTAATACCGCATAATGTTCAATTTTTATAGTGTCCTTTTCTTCTAAGCAGTAAAGTGGTTTTATTTCTATCACAGACATTCTATCTCTGCCTTGCTTATGTTAGTCAGTCCTTTACTTTAACCATATACAACTGGTACCATATACTTTAACATATACAAATGTTGCTTTTTCATTGGCTTTTACGTGAAAATCAAGCCTCTGGCAATTGTTCTACTCCTTAAGACTCCCTCAACAATCCCCCTCTCTTTTTAAAGCAACCACTCTCCTGAGGTCCTGTTGTTGGGGTCACCAGCCGCAAAATGGAAGGAAATCCCTTTTGGAGTCTGTGAGTTCCACTTTTTAGATGGCCAGATGGGGTCACTACAGAGCAATGCAGCCACTATGGCTGAACGGGTAACACTGACTGCTCCTGAGGAGGAACATTTACACTGATGGTGTGTGCAGCAAAGGGGGCTGTTGCTATTACAACAGGCTGCTCCATAGAGGCTAGTTTGAAGCACATTTTATCCAATATACCAGTGTTTTCATGGACTTACTGTCCATAATGAGAGAAGGTGGAGGTTACTCAATCAAATCCTTTCCATTGTGAAAATCTCAACCCTTGGAATATCTCTTTAATGTGACTAGTTATGGGTAATCGAAAATTTTCCATCAAAGCTTTCTTTTTGACAGAAAGTCGGGTGTTCAACTACATTAATATTTTCCCTCACAATTTTGAGTTTTTGTCAGAAATATTTGGTTTTCTGGCAAAAAGTAGAAATTTTCCATTGCACATTTTGATAAAAAAAAATTGGGGGGGAGAGGGGGGTCAAAAGTTTCCATCACAGAACCCTCCTTCCACACACACACACATGATTTTCTGAACTTCTTTATGACTAGTCCTCATCCATACCCCTTTCCAATTAGGAGCCTATTAGCATTTGGAAAAGTTTGGACATACAAAGCTGTGTTTTCTGATCTGACAACTGTACTAGTGAGGGAAAGTTACTTTAAGAAGAGATTTAATTCAAGTATCTTCATAAACACTTCTATAGTGCCTGCCATACAATGGTCATATAATGCTTTACAAACACCAACAACCTTAGTTCCACAACACCTCAGTGAGGTGGGAAAGTATTATTATTCCCATTTTACACATGAGCAAGCTGAAGCAGGTCAGTTAAGTGACTTGCGAAAGTCACAGCAGATGTGTGTGGCAGAGACTGAGAAAAGCACCCAACATTGCTTCCATCACATACATGCCCCTTTCTAGTCTCTATTTGCACAAATAGGCTTTTGTTTGCCCAAATGTTTGGGGAGTAGCTGCTCTTCATAAGGATACCCATATTTGTACATGAACAATAGCGTTTGCGTACAAATGAGATTATTGGCTGTTTATTATTTGCAGTATTGTCGAACAGGTCAGAGTCAATGTGCAGCCATCCTTCACACCCGGGGCCAATAAGAAGACCCACATGTGGCTGTGGCCAAAGACAGACAATGTCACACATCACTGGTGACTGCTCTCTGACCAGCTTTGATGGTGGTCTGTGGGCTCTGCACTTCGCTGACAAGGCTGCCGCAAACTGGCTTGGCAAGTCCCGCCTCCGATAAGAAATTATGTGCAATTTGTTATTCCCCTGTTTAAAAGGGTTCCATCGTTCTTTCCAGGAGTCAAAACAATGCTACAATGCTACCCACTGGCTGGAAATTACTTATCCAAACTATCTCATGAACAACAAATACATTTGGATGAGTCTACAAATGATTTCCAAACAGTGGGGTGGGGAAAAAAGCTATATCTGTCAGACAATTTATTTGCAACAAACAGTTTGCCCAGCTCTGTTAGAAATATAAGTCCTGATGTGAGGGCAAGGCACATTCACATCTGTCCAGGAGCATCTTGGATGACAAAGTGTCCTCATAATTTGTTGATATGATTAAATGAAATCGGGCCTTACAAATTAATTTGACTTAAACTAGGACAAACTGTAGCCCAGTGTAAAGAACACACTATTCTCTTATCTGTCTGTCTTAGGAACTTATCTGGCCCCCATGACTGTAGCATCTGAGCACGCCACAGTCTAACATTTCTCCTTTGAAGTGCAGCAGTGCTATTATCACATGTTACAGATGGGGAATGGAAGTGTAGAGGGACTACGAGTCAGAACTTTAAAGGTATTAGGTGCCCACACATACAGATGCTTTGTGGGATTTTCATAAGCAGCTGGGAACTTTTTTGGGATTTTTGAAAATCCCACTTGGCATCTACCTACATGTTTAAGCACTTAAATACCTTCAAAAAATCTGCTCTCAAAGGAGTTACCAAAGGTCACACAAGAAATCTGTGGCAGATGAGGGGCTCAAACCCAGATCTCCAGAATCCCACAGTAGCACCCAAACAACTGGACCACAAAAGCTCTCTTTATGCCCCTGATTAAAGACCAAGGCAAGAGCCAGAAATATTGGACAAGCTGGAAAGATAAGGATCTTTTTCATATATGGTAAGAATGTCTCATCATTTGCAGTTTTTTACTCCAAAGTGAACCTAAAAACCTGCTGATAATGCAAGTGGGTGGCCTCCTTTGGATCACGTGACCTGTTTTCTAGCTCTGCAGCCACCAACCATAAAACTTTCCTCTGATTATACGGCATGCTAATCAGCCACATCATCTCTGGGCCCAGCCACCCCACAGTCAGATACCATAAAAAAGCCTGACACTTTGACCATTGGAAAAATAAAGCAACACGGAAGCACAGCTCAATGGACTCAAACACTTTCCAAGACATGTGTCTCTCTCTTTGAGTAGATCTATATATTACCACCCAGCTTTGCTAACAATTGTGGAGGCTTCTTTCACTCTGTCAGACATTTATGAGTATGGGACGTGCCTTAGAATTATAGATATGCATATTTTCAGTATACCATAGAAATGCAGGGGAGGAAGCGACCTCCAGAAGTCATCCAGTCCAGCCCCCTAAGATAAAGCAGCACCTAAGTAAACCTAGACCATCCCTGACAGGTGTTTGCCCAACCTGTTTTTAAAAATCTCTAATGATGGGGTTTTCACAACCTCCCTTGGAAGCCTATTTCAGAACTTAACTATCCTTATCATTTGAAAGTTTTTCCTAATATCTAACCTACATCTCTTTGCTGCAGATTAAGCCAATTAAATATTGATCTACATATTTAAAGTGAAGATATCAATCAACATCCATAACACAATTAAATTACTGCGATTGATAATTTGCAATTAACAAAAGCAAATAAAAAATCTCAAAATAGAAGTTTGATAACTGCCTTATTGGATGTCCATTCATGTAAAAGATTATCTACAATATCTAACCCTTATATCACTACTAATCCTACCAATGAAGATTAAGGAAGAACCCAACTGGTTGGACTAGGGAAGTTGGTAGCATTGGTCTTATTAACAAAATTAAACAGACAAAAAATGGTGGAAGGTCCTATCTGGATACTGTTCGACTTGTCTTATGCATTTACAGCCCTGATATACTTAGCTGCAGTAAGCCTTCTAGCCTTATGACCTCTCAGTTGCAGGGCTGTGTACTGGCCTGTAAGAGGGATTTAGGTCAGGAGATATTGTATTATGAGTGTCATATGAGTAATTGAGGAAGGACACCAATTTTCATCTCAAAAGCAGGGCTGGCCCTAAACAGGCCACCAGCCTTGCACCTGAATTCAAAATGAACCCAGCTATACAAACTGAAAAGCAGGAGATAATTCAGATATGGGGTCAGGGCTCATAGACAGAAAGGACCATTGAGATCTTTGGGGGAGGCAGAAGGAGTCATATGTTCATGGATGCGTGTTGACCGTTGAGCTTCTCAAAGGGCCAGGCTAAGAGTCGTCATGCCTCTGCCTAGGGTCAACCCCACTTGTGAGGGAAAACCAAAAGAAATACAACTGAGCTGTTTAAACACTCCCACTTCTGCTCCCTTCCCCAGGTTCAGAAGGAGACAGCTGCCCAGCACTCTTAGGATGTCGCTGCCTTTAAGGAGCCCATGGAATGCCTAATTATTGTGCAGGTCTAAGGTACAGTATGTACTAGTTCACAGATAGGATGAATAAACACCAAGAGCAATTATGCTACAGCAAATTATGCAAGACAAACAGAATAAGAGCTCATGTTCAAAAACTCGAAACTGCTTCATTTAACAATCCAACAGCTGGTAAGTATGTCTAATAGATGGTAACCATGTGACAGATGAGACAAATCAACAGCAGCACAGCACTCTTTTGTAAGAAACTTCTGCTTCACCCCACATCTCTGATCGTCCTGCTCTTCTATGCATTAGGACGAGCGCAAAGACCAACTCAGCCACATCCAAACAGACCTGTTCCCTGTCTATGACAACCAGAGTCAGCAATTTATTTCTCACTCTTTCACCATCTGTGTCTTTCCAGGAACTGAGGGAAAAGGAAAGAGGCACCCAGGGACGTGTTCTATGCCTGCTATTTTTCTGCTAGTAATTTATTGTCTGTAAAGTTACAGATATTATTTAAATTGCCAGGGCTCCCAGAGTGAGTGACTCTTTCCACTCCCAACCACAGATTCGCTGCATCTTCCCCAACTAGATCATCATCAAAATAAACAAAGGACACTTACCATCTGCTTATGGCTTGGGAAGAATGTTTGCTCCACAAGAGGGAACTTCTCAGGACCCAGGGAGTTGAAGATTTTAATTAGCTGAGAGAACTAAAGAGAGAGAGAGTGTCTGTTGTTTATTAGACAATAAACTAATGCTTTTAAAAAGTGCTGGTATGAAGGAGGGCCGGGGAATCACATTATCTTCTCCCACCCACCTTTCTGCAATTGACAATGGTGAAAAATATAGCATGCTAAGCTACCACTGTCTCTCATGGGGTGCATAAAATTCATGCACTTGAGAGAAGGGAAGGAGTTAAGTGAAGAGACTGGAAGTGGACCAGCTTGCATTCAATTACAGATCCACTATAAACAGGTTTAGCTTTCACAGCACAGAAGGGCTGAGAGTAAAGAGAGGGCGGCTCTTCGTGAGAGTCTGGAGGAAAGGGCTTAAGACCCAAGCACTCCTTCGGTGTGTGTGTGTGACCGAAATAAGTAGTAGCCACTCATGTATAGCAACAAAACAAAATAAAACTCTCTCCCCCATGCAACCAAATAAAGGATTGGTGATGTTTCTTAAAAGGTATGAGAGTAATCAAAAGAGACACTCACTAGAAAGAGAGAGTTTTCTACATCAGTGGCTCTCAAACTTTCCAGTCTACTGTACCCATTTCAGAAAGCTGATTTGTCTTAAGTAACCCCAAGTTTCACCCCACTTAAAATCTACTTGCTTACAAAATCAAACATAAAATACAAAAGTGTCACAGCACACTATTATGAAAAATTGCTCACTTTCTCGTGTTTATCATATAATTATAAAATAAATTAATTGGAATATAAATATTGTACATACATTTCAGTGTATGGTATATAGAGCAGCATAACCAAGTCATTGTCTGTATGAAATTTTAGTTTGTACTGACTTTGCTAGTGCTTTTCATGTATTCTGTTGTAAAACTAGGCAAATAACTAGATGAGCTGATGTACCTCCTGGAAGACCTCTGCATACTTCCAGGGGTACACGTAGCCTGGTTGAAAACCACTGTTCTACACCATCCAATTTGAGTGCTGGGCAAAGAAAGCATGAACCTGATGTCTATCTCATATAAACATCTCTTGTGACTAGGTTCACTTGAGAGAGTCTGTCACCAATCTTACATGCATGTAGCATGATGCACACAGAATGAAACAGAAAAAAGTTCACCTCTTACTTCCCCATTTATCTTGGGGGTCAAAGGAGACATCATCCTAAGCGAGTTATTTGAGGAAAGCAGTGTGCAAAGTCTATGTTGGAAAGCAGAGTCCTCAGGAAGTACTTCACGCACAAGAGCTAACATGGTAAGCCAGGACAACACACACATAATTAACTGTTTATCATCAAGGGTCACACACAGCTACACATGAAGCATCCCACAATGTGATAATCTGAAAGTGGGATAACAGAGCTATTCTAAGTGAGCAGAGTCTTGATTTCTACCCACCTTCCACAACCTTATAATAATTTGTATCACAAGGAATTTCAACTCCTATTTGACAATCTGCAAATATCTACACACTATTACAGGTACAGGGCCAACCCACAACATTTTGGCACATGACGCCCCCATGGCCCCTCACTTAGACCAAAACTTTGAAAGGTCTCAGTTCTGCCTTCTTCCTGTTCTACTCCTCTCACGGTACTGCTCTGCTACCTACCCCAATAAAGGAGAACTAACAACTTAAAATGCCTTGTTCAAAAATTTTAAGTAACACTTAACTTTCAAACGCTGGAACAGCAAGTGTAACTTTTCTTGTCTGCGTAGTAAACACTGGCGTTTTTATCTGTTTGAATAATCAAAGTGGTGCTTTCTATGCCTTCTTGGTTGCAAAGATTTGAACTGCTTCCTGAAGGTCCACAGTCTGGGCCGGCTCATGCTCTATTGAGATGATGGCAAGGCCGACCAGCCTCTCCTGTGTCATTGTGGAGGGTAGATGTGTTTTTATTAACTTCAGCTTGGAGAAGCTGCGTTCTCCACTGGCAACTGTTACAGGAAGTGTTAGAAGTACGCGCAGAGCAACAAAAGCATTTGGAAAGAGGGTGGTCATTTTATTTGTGCACATATATTCCAGACCAGCCTTTGCAGTTGATCCTGCTGAAATGTATCTTGAAGGGGCTTTCAGTTCATCACCTAAATCACTCGCATCAATATTGCGCATGTCATCATGTGTCAACACTGTCTCTAGTGCCCTGCATTGCTGGTGTAGGTCTTCTTCAGGTATAGTGAGGAGTTTTGGAATATCCTACAAAATCCCAAATATACTGCTGTGTTCCTTGAGCTGCATGAAACATTCTTCAACTGACTGTATTGCACAATCTAGCACCTGGTTAAAGAATTCAACTTTGAATTGTTGTTTGGGGTCTCTTAGGGGATTATCCCGTGCCTCGTAATCAAAATGTCTTCTTCAGTGACTCTTGTATTCTTGAATGGGTGGGAAAATAACTTCAGTGTGAAGTTCCTCTACCAACTTCTGTGCACTCTTCGGAATGTTTTGAAATCCCTCATCTGACCGGAAAGACTGTAGGTATGACTTTGCTTTGTCCAGTTGTTCCGTTGCTCCAGATATATCAAGGTCAACACCTTGGAGTCTCTTGCTTACAATATTTATTTCAAACAGTATGTCATGCCACAACACTAAGCCACACAGAAATTTGAAGTTATGTATGTTTCTGGTGATTCCATTTCCCTCTGCCACTGTTCTCCCATGAACAGTTCCTGTCATAGCATTATCCTCCATAATGGCAAATATGGCATCATCTATCTTCCCAATTTGGTGTTTGATAGGCTTTATCGCCTCCACTCGACTTTCCCATCATGAGGCACTCAGTAGTTTCAGTGTCAGAGAGGATGTTCCCAGATGTTGCTTCAAAATTTGCCATCAATGAGTTGATGCAGAGAAAAATACATAGATGCTTTGAATTACATAAAAAAATTCAGCAGCCTCACTAGAAGCTGATGCTGCATCACTGACCACCAAGTTCAATGCATGAGAACTGCATGGGACAAAAAAGTCTCGAGGGTTTAACTCTCGGATCCATGTCTGCACTCCTCTGTTCTTTCCTCTCATGTTGGCACCATTATCATAGCTCTGACCTCTCATGTCAGCTATCACAATTCCTATATCTTCCAGCTTTTTAAGAAGCACATTTGTCATACCAGCTCCTGTAGTATAATCAATGTCAATAAATTCTGGAAAATGCTCTCTGACAGTCACCATTGCAGAGACATTTTCACTAGATTCTGTTGTTGTTACAAAACGTACCATTAAAGTCATTTGTTCCATATGGCTGATGTCAGGTGTGCAGTCCAGAAGAACAGAGTAACATTTTGCTGACTTCAGATCTGCCACAATCTTCTGTTTGACTTTTGTTGCCAATAACTGTATGATCTCATTTTGAATGGTTTTTCCAAGGTAGTGGTGTGTGTACATTTCTTGGGTGGTGACTCTTCTTAGATGCTCCTGGAGTACAGCATCAAACTCAGCCATCAGCTCCACAATTTTAAGGAAGTTTCCATTGTTTGGCACATACAGCTGATCTGAAGTGCCATACAGTGCTAGGTTTTGGGTAGCAAGCATTCTCACAATGCCAATGAGCCTTTTCAGAACATTTTGCCAGTAAAGATACTCTGATGCAATCTTCTCTTGATGCTGATCATCTATGGTGGCCTTTAACCTTAGTCTCATCTCAAGTTCTTTCCTCCTATGGAATGCTCTCTGGTGATTTGCTGCCTTCTCATGGCATGCCAGATTTCTAGCCAGATTTTTCCAGTCCTTTGTTCCTGTAGAACCCAATGTGGCTGGAACATTAGATTGAAAGAGTTTGCAACAAAACCAGTATGCAGCATTCTGGGTTTTTGAGTACATAAGCCATGGCCTCTCCACTTTGTCACCATTGGGGATTTCACATCAGTAATGTGTTGGATGGAAACTTCGATTTTCATTGTCTTTGGGGAACATGAAGTTTTTCACTTGCTGTGGCCCATGCAGTACAAGGAAGTCCCTCAGGCTACTGCTCAAGTCTTGGATCATCTAGACTTAAGGAACTAAACTCAGCAGCAGCTGTTTCTTGCGCCTCCACCACACTCTTCTCTGATCTACACTTTTCTTCAGGAATGTGCATGTGTAAGGGGACTGTTGCCCCCTTACTAATGTTCAGTGGGGGTGTTTTAGTTGCTAGCTCCCAGTACTAAAAGGGGGGTTGATGGGAAATCAGGACCCTGAGACTGACAGTCCCCAGGAACAATGGGGAGAGGCCAATACTCCAGGTCAGCCTGAATGACAGGACGGGCAGGCTAATCAGGGAGTCAGGAGGCCAGGGCGGTCCCGTCCTCCGTGTGAGCTGGAATTGCCTGGGTCAGACAGAGTGGGGCCAAGCTAAGGAGAAAGCAGGGGCCCAAGCTAAGCTGGGGAGCAGAGCTGTGCCAGATCCAGAGGGACCAGAAAAGCAGCCCAGAGAGAGCAGACCCTGCCCTGGGAGCAGAGCTGCAGCTCCAAAGCCAGAGGCACAGCCCAGAGAGAGCAGACTTGCCCTGGGAGAAGAGCTGCAGCAACCAGAGCCAGAGTGGCCAGAAAAGCAGCCCAGGAAGCAGGTCAGTGCTGGGAGCAGGGTCACAGAAGCAGCCTGTGGAGCAGACCTATCCTGGGAGGAGAGCTTGTAGCAACCAGAGCCGGAGGGGCCAGAGAAGCAGCCTAGGGAGCTGGAGGCAGAGCAGCAGCTGTGCTGAGGCAGAGTGGAGCAGGAGCTGGAGCTGGGGTTGGAGCAGTCTGGAGCTAGGTGTCATGAGCAGCTGGGGAGAGCGAGGGGGGACCCTGGGCAATGGGCCCAGCGCAGGGAGACACCTCAGCCAGGAGGCTCTGCAGGCCAGACTCGGAGGGGGATTGGTAACCCTGACAGGGTGGGGGGCAATGTTAGAAAGAAGGGCCCTGCCACGTAGAGCCTGAGAGCGTGTGGCCACCAGCAGAGCAAGTGTCCAACTCGCAGCATCCCTGCAGCACAGCCAGGGCCTGAGAAGAAGGCCTGGGACTTACAAGGAACAGACTGTGAACTGCCCAGACATTCCAGAGACGCTGTT